CCCAGCGGCGGACCCGCGCGCGCCCACCCACCTCGGCCGCTCCGAGCCCGGCCCTCAGCGCGTCCAGGTGCTGCCCATCCGCCGGGAGCCTCACGCTGGAGCCGCCGCCTCGGCACGGGGCGGGGGGAGTCCGAAACAGAGGGCGGGCAGCGAGGGTGGCGGCGGTAAGACGGACGCCGGAGCGAAGCTCCAGCAATGGCCACGGCGCACCGCCGAGCCGCGGACCCTGGAGAAAGACGCCGCTAAAGCCCCGTACTGCGAGGCGGCGTGCGCGAGCTCGCGAGACCCGCGCACACGCACGCACACATCGCGAGAGCCGGTCTCCCGCGCCGACCAGCGCGCGAGCTCGGGAGGAAGCCCTAGCCGTCAGGCTGCGCTTGCGCGGCGTGGAAGGTGAGTGGCTCTGTGCCACTGTGGACCCAGAGCTGCGTGTCTCCTGGCGTGCGCCGTGGGCTGTGGCTGGGTTGGAGGGTTCCACCCACCGCAAGGGAAATGACTGTGTTCCTTACACGGATTGTGTGATGTTGGAACCCTTACTCACCCCATTTCTCAGAATACAGGATTAATGAAGTCAGGGTTTGAACCCACATCTAAAGACAGGTTTTTATGCCTGTTTGCAAAAAAAGATTTATCAGTGTCTCATTGTGCTAGCGGCTTCCCACAAGTTAAAGGGACTCTCGTTTCTTACGAGAATACTCAATACTGAGTATTGGGACCCTCGGGCCCATTTTATGGGTCACTTTATAATCGTTAGTGTTTGCATCCATGATCTCTAGAACTGCAGTATTCACTCCAACGTCGAGGAAGAGATGGGACAAGTAGTAGATTACTTATAAACTGTTACGAGTTACAGGTTTGTGGTATGTCAGTCACATGGAAGCGACTAACTTGTACAGTGCTTCTTCCCCTGAATTTCTAGAAGTCAGAAAGGGGAGGAACCGGAACTAGCAGCTTCTGAGAAGACACTTTATTAGACAGTGGGCAGAAGTTGGGGAAAGGGACATCCTTCCTCCATGCAATGAAGGCTCTTTGAGGAAACATGCTTCGCTCCAGGTGCTGGCCTGCCAGCAGTAACGAGAGGCACGTGTTTCTGGGTGAACACGCGAGCAAGGAGAGAAATCAAACAAAATACGTAATATGGAAAAATGTCTTTCAACCTGATGGACTAGAATGTAAGATCTGTCATACAATTTGGTTTTGGTATTGAGGATTGAGACCAGGGGTCTTTACATTGAGCTACATCATCGAGCACTTTTCAGTTGAGACAAGATCTGGTCTCGCTAAACTGGGCTGACATGGACCTCGCAGTCCTCCTGCCTCAGCCTTCCAGAGGACGAGGCTTACAAGTGTGCACCACTGCACTGTGACCCAATATATGGTCTGTTGATTATGCCTATATGATGAACTCCAAAAAATGGACACCAAAGCTCAGGTGCGCTACCCTCCGGGAAAGCAGGACTCTCAGGCAGGCAGAGGGGGGAAACAGTAAGGCACAATATAGAACAATCTAAAAAACTGAGAAGCAAATGTAAAAGGCTGGCCTTTCCCCTGGCTTCTCGGAATTTGTCTCTAGATCCTTGAGATGTCAGGCTTGGTAGTCATTTGCCTCAGCCTTGAGTCCTGTCAGTCTAGCAGTATGAGTGTGTGGGAAAGTTGCAGGATTTCCCATTTCCCTGGAACTGAACGCTGAGATTAGCCATATAGGGGTAGTTGATCATGTCTACCTGATGAGCTCCAATACAGACTCTGCATACGAAGGCTCGCCTACACTTACCTAGCTGGGAAAGTAGATTTCCTGGCAGGGTGGGGTATGGGTGCACGCTGTTGCCAGAGAAGCAGCACTGATCAGCACTCCACAGGGAGTGCAACTAGCTCTGCACTGGGAACTTCTCAGACCCTGCCCCAGGAGACCTCCCTCCGCTTCTTTTAACCCGCACCCTTTCACTGTAATAAAATTGTGTATGTGACAGCTTTCAGTGAATCCTTCTGAGTGTACTAAACTGAACGTAAGAATACTCTCAGGCACTCGAACTTGTAACTGGTGTCAGAAAACAGGAAAAATTCATGGCTTGTGCACTAACTTCACAATCAAAATGTTAGAGAAAGTGCCAGAACTTGTAAGAAGCACAGAGTGGTGGATTTTAAGAGGAAAAGAAGTGTAACATTTAGGGTTTCTTTAGCATGTTTAATTCCTTAATGGGATCCTCTAGTTTCAGAGAGATTTGCTACAGTCTAAAAACATTTTATGTTACCATTAAATTACACTGTGGAAAGAGCAAGGACCACATTGATATTCTGGAAATGGAGTTAGCTAGTCTTCTCTAGAATCTATAACTTACTATGTAAAACTTGTACAGATATGTAAGCTATACTACGTTTTCTAACTTGGGTTCTTTGTTGTTGTTGTTTGGGGGGGGGTTCTGCTTTTTGAGATAGGGTCTTGCTCTATAATTCAGGATGGTCTTAAAAATTCATTATGCAGCCCAGGCTGGCCTCCAACTCACTGCAATCCTCCTGCCTCACCTTCCTGAGTGCCAGGATTACAAATGTGTGCCATGCCCAGCACATTTATCTTTCTCAGACAAGATCTTGGTACTCTCAAACTCTTGGGTCAAAGTGGTCCTCTCACGTGGCACTGTGGCGCATGTCTATAATCCCAGCATTCATGAGGCCAAGGCAGGAGGATCCCGTAAATTCACGGGAGCCTGCACTACAGAGTGAGACCCCGTCTCAAAAAAAAGTGATCCTCTCAGATTACCTCTACCTGGGACTACAGGTATTAAGTGACCACACCTGGCTTTACAATTTAAAACATAGTGGGGAGGCCGTGGCAAGGGAACACCCACTGACTGGTACTTCAGAATATGAAGAGGGAATAAAAGGAAACTTAAATAGGATGCTGAGGCCACATACTTACCTACTTTTAGCAAGTTAAATTACTGTGTCTTTTTGAGACAGGGTTTCACTATGCAGTTCAGGTTAGCCTTGAACTCACTCTGTAGCCCAAGCTGGCCTTGAACTCACAACAATCCTCCTGCTTCAGTCTCCCGAGCATACATCAGGCTTTACTTTTTTTTTTTTTGGTACTAGGGGGGAATCGAACTCAGGACCTTGCACTTGCCATGCAGGCGCTTATGCTACTGAGCTATATCCCCGGCCCAGGCTTTACATTTAACATCTTCTTTCAGTCCCTTTAGCAGTAGTGCAAATAATAAAAAGCAGTGTTGGCATATTCTAGTGGCAGTGGTGCTTGATACAAGTGGGACAAACTAAAAGAAGTTAAAACACCACACATGTACTACATTTCCCTTTATTGAGCTGGACAGGGAGGCTTTGGAATAAAGTTAGCGATTTTGTTTAAATTCTAAATCTGCCACTTACTAGCTGCGAGAACCACAAACAAGTTACAGCACTTAAGTCAATTCAGTTCAACAATCATTTATTAAATGCAATGTACTAGGCATGCATGACAGACATGGTTGCTAAGCTCTAGAACTGTGCATTCTACTGAGATGGACAAATGGATCAGAATATAGTGATGATCCATTAATCACTTATTAATACAATGAAAAGAGTAGGACTGGTGTTTTCTCATACTTATCTCAGGTTTAGCTGTGTGTGGTGGCATATGCCTGTAATACCAGCACTTGGGAGGCTGAGGCAGGAGGATTGCTGGGAGTTCGAGGCCAGCCTGGACTACACAGTGAGTTTAAGGCCAGCCTGACTGTACGGCAAGACCCTGCCTCAAAAAAAAAAAAAAAAAAAAAATCCCTCAGGCTGCTCTTAATGAGGTGTCATAGTACATCAATACCAGCAATGAATGTAGAGGCTTTTTCATCATCTCTGATCCTCTGCAAAAAGAGCACTCTTAAATGTAACACTAATTTGTATACTAATGTCTTTTCTTCAAAAGCATACATACATACCTGCTTGGCGTGGTAGTACACACCTGTAATCTCAGCATTCTGAGAAGCTGAGACAGGAGGATCACAAGTCCAAACTCTGCCTCGGCAACTCAGCAAGACCCTGTTTCAAATAAACACATAAAAGGGTAGGCGGAGCTAAAGTTCAGTGTAAAGGCTCTGGGTTCAATCCCCAGCAGCACAAAACAAGACCAAACAAAGCATATAACCTTGAAATACCCTTTGGCCACTTAAGCCAACATTTTAAATACACTTAAGCCAACGTTTTTCCTTTTTTATCAGTACGTGTTTGCAGTACACAAGGATTACACTCCCTGTGGGGAAATGATACATGTATGTAACTCATCGTAATTCTTCATTTTTTTCATCACGTATCTGCCCTTCCTTCATCTCTTGGTCTCTTTTCCCTTTCATTGCTTGTCCAACAGCTGATTCATCCTGGCTCAACGCAGGCCAGATCATATGGACAAGCTACTCGTCTTTTTTTCTTTATATCTGCTGCTCACAGGGATTGAGTCCAGGGCGTTAGTGTGCTAAGCAAGCACTCTACCAAGGAGCTACACCCTCAGCCCAAAACTACCAGTTTTAGTGACTTTGAAATGGCAGTTTTCATTTTAAATCATGACTGTGAAATGTGAAAGGGGATATAAAAAGAACATCTGTCCAAATCTGGGAGGTGGCTCCCTGTAATGACCTATCAATTGAGGTTACAAGT